TTCCCCAGTCGTTACCTATGTATCCGTACTCGATGTTAATGGCTAGGGTGAAAGCAGTTAATGACCTACTCTTTGCCAACTCCTCCCCAAGGCCTCTTTCCCAGTCTCCATACAGGTATCCGTGTTCGCTGTTGATGGTTAGGGTGAAAGCAGTTAATGACGTACTATTCGCCAAACCTTCTTCAAGACCTCTTCCCCGGTCTCTATCCAGGTCTTTCTCTTCGCCGTTGATGGTTAGGGTGAAAGCAGTTGACGACGCACTCTTCGCCAACTCATCCCTAATGTTTCTTGGCCAGTCTTTATCCAGGTATCCGCGTTCGCTGTCGATGGTTAGGGTGAAAGCAGTTAATGACTCATCCTTAGCCAAATCCTCCCTATGTTCTTCGTATAACGTTTCAAAAAAGTGATTCGTTTCATCGTTGACAAGGCAAGGATCTTCTGACTGGCATTTAATCAGGGGTGAAGATATTAATTGGTTATACTGACTCAACCAAGTCGATATCGAGTGCGCTCCTGATGTCCTACAAGAAAAAATGATATGAATTTATTTACTGAGTTATGGTTGAGCTGACTGGAAAATGCTTACGCAGAAAGGTTCATATTTCAGGACTTAGTGGAGTACGGTATGTTCCATCCAAGAAAGAATTTTCTGCTGTTACATTCAAAAGGGTCCTACCTTGTCTGACTAACTTTGTATCAATAGGTTTGAGCCTTTGAATTGAATCATCTTATCACAAATTTAAGCAAAGTTTAATTTCTCATAAATGTTCCGATGCACTAACTTTCTTACGTTTTCTCTCAATGGTTTTCTTAAACTCCTCTTTGTTGATTGGTAATGAAAATGTTCAGATTCTGTTTTTGTTTTTTTGTTTCTTTTTTTAAAACAATTTTTTTAGGGTACGTCAGCACTCTTCCTGACAGGTTATATGACTTAGGAGTTCGGTAGGTTATATGACGTAGGAGTTCCGAAGTTTTCCGAGTTTCAAAGGTTTTCCTTCCACTTATCTGATCTTTCAAGCAGATGACCCACGCGATCACGCACGTGTTTGAATAAATATTCAGCGTATTTTCGGGGAGTTTGCTCCTACGACGATTTAGCCTGCAGAACAGGCGTAATTAGGGCGAGCGAGTCCACAGTATTTGCTTAGCGAAAAATGACCGCCATCACTGACGGTCAAAAATAAAGAGAGGGGCCGGGGTGAGGTAGTGAATATTCCGTCGTCCTCTCGCCCTTTCCCGCCCTCTCCCCCTACCGTCGACTCAAACGCTCAATCAAACATGGCCGGTTGAATAAACAAGCGCGCACTTCTTAAACACGAAGGCGCGCTATAAAAGGAGAGGTCCCTTGGGATGCCTGATAGACGAACAAACGGAGCTAATGAGATGTTTACTTCCACCAGCATGGTAGCAATGATGTAACGTCCGAACCACCTACTTCGATTTCAAATTTACTGTCACAAATAAAGACAGTTTCCACTGGAGAAAGGAAATACAAATCTCAAAAATTCTTGTATTGCGATGAACACATAAAACAATTTTGAGGAATGCGCCCCCTGTTCACTGCTTAGGATTAGCTATAGCTCAAGCTGACTTGACTCTTAGAGTTCTACATCACACGACGGTTGATTGACAAATGGTCCAGAGGTACCTAAGGCATCTCTCCTTTTATAGCGGCCTTCGTGTGTAACGATAACTTGCACTAATAAGACGCTTGCACTGCAGGATAACTACGATTCATTTCCCCCAACAAACGAATCGCGTTCAGCGTTGCGAAACGCGGTGTTAAGTTTCGGAAATTGAACGTGCTATAAGTAATATATATTCCTGTTATAATGGGAATAACATTAACAGTAAAAGTAATAACCAAGCCCAAATCGGCAGAAATCGCCAAGGAGTGGGTAAGTTTTATTAATCTTACGTGTAAAATGTTTATATTCAGTTCAAAATATTTTGTGTTGTAAATGGACCACAACGCGTAACCCTTTCAATAATATTAATACTTTGCTTGATTTCAAAAGTGCGATGCTTAAACACGAAGGCGCGCTATAAAAC